TTTTGACAGCGACTGATATCATCAAATATTTAACTGATGTCATCAAATATTTACCCACGAAAAAAAACAATAGTGCGGTGAATAAAACTAGCTTACATGTAATCCAGATCTCATTTAGATCGACAAATATGATAACTAAAATTGCAGTTTATGAAAATTGCTGACCGTATAGATACATAAATGATGTTGAAACCTCATAGGAAATAACAGGTGCTGAGTGGAAAAAAATGGAAAGCTAAAGTCTTGCCGTTAATTATCGTACTTACATATAATATTCATTGTTATGAGAATCGTCACCGAAAGAGATTAATCGGGATTAAATTTTATACGACCTCTGTTTTGCCGCCGTGAAGACAACTGCAGCTGTTGGGACTAAAACTATCGTACTGCACGTAACATTCAATGGAGATTTTACGTAAAACCAGGAAGTTGTGTTATTTCATCATGCACACTTTTGCATAAAAAAGATTCGTCATTTGTTGTTTTATAGGACATCATATAAGTAAAAAGGCTTATATGCTAGGAGGTTGGGCCATTTCTTCTATCTCTCTTTGAGATGGGAGGCCCCGCAATTATATATTCATATTTAATTAGCTGCATCGGTCGCTAATAAAGCCTTTCAGCAAACACTTGTAGTATGCAAACACTTGTGCAATGGTTTAAAGTAATGATTATTTGCTTGTTTCATCATTTAAATACCGGCTCTAGAGTGTCAACCTTCTGCCGGAGGTATTTTCACGATCATTTGGCAACTTTTTATTATTGATTGCAATTTTCTACCATCCACATACATCAGTGGGCTTGGTATTCACAAGTATTTAACAAACGTATAGTTAAATACTTGTAAATATAGTTACAAGCATTTAGGGTTTTACTTTTTTGAGGGGAGGGGTACAGCCCATACAGCGTATTTCAGAGACCACATGGGATTTGTGTATTTAGATTGTACTAAGGTCAAGCACTTATTTTCACTGGATTATTTGTCTTATCGGTGAAGTATTCAAACGGATTGATTTTAATCAAAAGCATGATAGGCATATCAACGACTCCAACAGGCTGGATCACTACATCTGCAATGTATATAGTTTTGATAACCTTACCATTTTATAGAGGAACGTATATAATGTGGTCGTATTAGGTCAAAGTTATTACTCTAGCTATTTCTTCGTGCAAAATATTTTGTTCACATTTATAATTAATGAATATTGTGAACAATAACGTTTATGCAAAGTATTATCCTTTATTTTAGCAAGACATTTAGCCTATTTTGAGAAGTCTTGAAAACCTTTTTTAGCTACTTTTTATGTAAAATATTTCCAGCAACATGTGAAATCTAAAGACAAATCACACCCCTATAGCTGATTTTATTCTGCATAAGTTTAGGACAGAACTGAAAATAAATTGAAGGTCACCCTAGATATCTACCGTATAGATAGATAACGGATGTCTGTATATGGGTCGGGCCTCGCACAATTTTAAACCGGCCGTAGGTCTCTAATTTGTTCACAAAAGAAACCGCCCCCATATTTCCCGGATAAACGAAAAAAACTGCCGATAGAAAGTACATAGACCTATGCTACTCCAGGTCAAGATATTCATTTCATCTCTCCAAAGACGCGTTTTGTAATTCTTCCAACTCCGGGGACAAGTTGAATGGGAAACCATTTAAAAGACGCCTGAAACTTAATATGTCAGCCTCTTTCGCCAGCTTCAACTATCAATTTAGAAGAAAAGACGATACACCACTAGCCACGCGGCTCAATTAACACTGTTCATACTACATGTAAACACAGTTTTCATGTTAATTACAAATTTCGTTTCAGTGCTCAAAACTGAATCGTCACGTGCAGGGATTACAAAACTTGAATGGCGTCCAAGGGATACTTTCTAGAGGGCATAGAGCAATTGATATTTCATTTGGTTGAACTAAAGTTTCCTTTTCTTAGACATTATGGGATTTTTTTACCATTTTTAAATATCTTATGATTAGTTTGCTGTCTCTTGGAGCAATTTTGGCCATGTATGGATTATCATTAGAAGTTTCTCAAAGTCAGTCGGTTAAATGGTAGGCGGTAGGCCTCGAAAGCACCATCTACGTTTTGATTTTTCCTTTCTGTAATAGTGAAGCCCTTATATCAGATTTATATTTTTCTTTACTTTATATTTCAGTGTATATATATACAATTATATATTCAGAATATATATATTAATACATATATATATATATATATATATATATATATATATATATATATATATATATATATGTGTGTGTGTGTGTGTGTGTGTGTGTGTGTGTGTGTATTCAGTTATTACATATATATATATATATATATATATATATATATATATATATATATATATATATATATATATATATATATGTAGAGCACACGCATGGCTTGGGTGAAGCCTGGCTACACGTGGGTAGCACATTGCGTCCGTAGCAGACCACGTGGTCTAGATATGGACACACGTAGGCTGCGAGCTTGCAGGACTATGCCTTATGCAGCATGCTATACTCACGAGTTGTTTCCAGGACTAGGAATTTCGAAGTCACTATTTTATTTCCTTCTCTGACTGGATCCCTGGAGCCACTATCCCCCCACTGTATGTCACTGGAAACGGGTTCGTCTCCAAGCCTTCTTTATGTGGAATCCTTCACCATGGTGTTTGT